TGTTACTGGCTTATTGTATTTTATAACGAAGAAATAAAACTGAATAGTTTATGGTAAACATACAATTTAAAATTAAGGTACATAATAAGTATTATTATTCTGTTCTTACCTATAGTAATTTTAATTGCAAGTTGCAAACATGAACTAAAGTAATAAATCCTAAAAATTGCAATTAGCGATACAAAAGTAAAAAGATTTTATATAACTATTTTACAACAACACTTCGACCGATTTATACAAATCAGTATTATAAATATATATTTTTAATGACTTAATTTTCTGTATAACTTAGTATTTATTATTTATTTGGTACAACGTACAAATACGCTATATACAGTAAATAGAGTAAAGACGAAAACACCGAACAAACTTTGTGCACTACTTTGTATATGCAAAGCCATCTCGTACGTAAAAACTGATGTCACAGATTTTTTTATATAAACAAGACTCTTACAATTACACTTCGACCAGTTTATACAACTCTGATAATATAAACATGTCTTTTATAAGTGCTTTTTTGAATCAGCTATTGATTTAATTTTTAAATTATAACAATAGTTTAAAACGTAAAAAGAGACTTTTACATTTTATGCATNGTTGTTGATGACCAGAATGCCATCAGAAGGGGCAGTCCTATAAGCCCTGGCCGCATAAAGGGCCGCCAGCCTTTGTAGGGATAAGAGCTTCCTACTGATGTGGACTAATTTAACCCTATGGCCCCACACCTCGCAGCCATAGGTGGCGATCTGCTGCGTGACCGCCAAGTAGGTGGCCCTCCTGGCCCTGTAGTTAAGGCCCCACTTATTCCTAGCAATAGTCGCTAGGGCACTGTTAACTTTGAGGGCTTTGTCATACGCCTCCCGTACGTGATGCTTCCACAGTAGCTTTTGGTCAAGATACATCCCCAGATATTTTATGGTTGTCACATGCTGAATCTTGTTATTCATAATCTTGACTGCTGGGGGTTTAGACAGTGGGTTGCCCCTGGGGAACAAAATACAGTTACATTTTTTATAATTGATGGTCAAGTTAACCCTGACGCTCCAGTCAAAAACCTGGGTCAACAGGTCATTCATTTTGCTTTGTAAGACCTCCTGATTGGTGTGTGACATCATAATAACAGTGTCATCGGCGTACCCCTGTATCATTGTGTTCAGGGGCTTACCCTCTTGGATCTTAAGAAGGTCATTGTACAGGATATTCCACATAAGTGGGCCGGACTTCGACCCTTGCGGGCAACCCCTATTAATAGTGGTTGAGTGTAGAACCTTACCGTTATGGTAGTAACTGGCTCTTCTATCGTGGAGATAACTACAGATGAGGTTGTAGATATTACCTGGGCAATTGGTCCTACCAATCTGGTGCAGGATCTCCGGCCACCAAGCGTGGTCGAAGGCCCCCTTAAAGTCAATTGCTACCAACAAGGTGTGCCTACCTTTCTTCTTCTCCTTGTTAATGTAGTCAATAAGGTTATCGAGGGCACTAATCGTGCTTTTGCCCTTCCTAAAGCCGAACTGAAGCGGATGAAAGAAGTTTTTTGACTCCAGATGGTAATTTACTCTGTTGTTGATAAGCGAGTCTAGTATCTTACCGAAGAAGGACAAAAGGGAAATCGGGCGGAAGTCAGAGGGGGTCATAGTTGCTTTACTGGGGTTTTTCGGGATGAGTTTGATGGAGGCTTCTTTCCAGCTTTTAGGGAAGTACCCGATCTCGAGACATTTGTTGAAGATGACGAGGAATGTTGTAGGAAGCGCGTCGACAGCCTCTTTGGCAGTCCGCCAAGAGATGAAGTCTGGGCCTGGGGTCTTATTCCTTTTTATGTTTTTGGTTTCTTTACTGATTTCATTGGCAGTGAATGGCTTATCATTGTTCTCCCAGTTGTAATTATTAATCCGGTTTCTGATTGTCTTGTGATATTGATTGTCATTTGATGGGTCGTCCGTAGGGAAGAGAGCATCAAAGATACTTTGACAAGTATCCTCTATGGAGGTGGTGTAAGATCCCTCCCCATCCTCAATGGTGGGAGGGATACAGCTGGATTTTAGTTTCTTTCTAACAGTGTAGTAGGGGATAGCCCAAGGGTTATCCCCGCACTTATTAGTGCAGAAATTGCGCCAGGACTTCGTCCTGGAAGAGTTAATCAGCTGTTTGTACTGCTTGTAACTATCCATGTAAGCCTTCCTCCTTTGTTCTTTACGAAGTGGGTCTACTTCCCTCTTGAACTTCCTCCTTCTCCGCCTTACCTCTCTCCTCTTTATGGTGAGATCTTCGTTCCACCAGGGTGCATTCTCCTTGCCTACCTTAATGCTTGTGGAAAGGTACACAGCCGTGTGAATGGTATTAGTCAGATCCTCGATTGCTTTGTCCAGCTCGTCGTTTGTGCCCTGGCAAAGTATACCGGGATAAATAAGAAAATTCGAGCTTCTTTAAGTACGTCGCTCTCGAAACGGCCGTACTACGCCTGCATCGAATCTAAAATAAACCGTTAATAAACTTCAGATGGAACAAAATCGTTACACGCGTTCAATTTATAATTTAAACTTTACGGAAATGTGGCGGATCGACACGAGATACTCGTATAATTGGCGGATTTGGTCTCCCGATTGTTAAACTACGGGTGGGGAGATCCGCACCCATCGGAATAGTCCGCGCAACGATATACGTAACGTATCGAGTTATAAAATCTTTAAAAAGAATGTTAAAAAAGGAAAAAACTTTAAGCCGCGGTGATGTTTGTTCTCCATTGATTTTTGGACTTAAAGTAGAAAGTAATTTTCTCGGCTCGCCTGCCGTTTTTGTTTTATTCGTTCTTTTTTTGTCGATTTTAATTTAAGATGCTGGTAAAAGGCCGACCCGGCCACGGCGTCTTTTTTGAGAAATAAATAAATAAAAATATAGCCCCGGTACGGTAGTCAACGGCCACCGAAAAGCCCACCGGAACCGAGAGTAAAAATTTCTTCTCCGTACCGGAAGTGGCGTGGTTTTCGGCTTTTTTCCGGTTGTATTTTCGGTTAATGCGGAGTCCGGGCCTTACGGCTCGCCCTTAAGCGTTAAAGTTATTCGGCGTCTGGGCGTAATCCCAACTCCGTAACAAATTTCGATCCTAATTATTAATACGGTGGAACCCCGGTTAACCAACTTTTATTTTGCAAAAATTTTGTCTCGGATAACCAACAAAATTCGGATGACGAACTTGACGGCTTTTTGTGTCGAATTTGTAAGCTTGCCGACTTTTAGGGGGGAATGGGTTAACTCTTTAAAGACGACGGAACCCGGCTGGGTAGCGAGTTTTTTCTATTTCCGGCAATTTTGCGGACGATATAAGGAGGCGGTCGAGCGATAGATCCACGGGTCTTCTCCGTTTTTAGAAAACAGAGGTCTGCGGATCTATCGCTCGACCAGAGAAATAAGAAATGAAATAATATTTTGTAGGCCTCGGTGGTTATTCCGTTTTCTTTCCGGCTTTCTACGGAGTAAATTTTATAGTTTAACGCGGTAATCTTTTTTGTTTCGTACGGACGGACGTCGGTCGATTTTATTTTGTTATATTTTTGAAATTTTATAAATATTAAATAAATTAAAAAGTTTTAAAATAAGTCGTAAAAGTTTCTTATTTTCATTTTTGGGGGGAACGAAAATCCGAAAACCGGTTAAGCCCGGTTCGGTAGAAAAGTCGAGATTACAAAAGCGGTATTCTAACGAGTCGATTTTTATATAAACCCTAGGAGGGACGGTAATAAGCCGATTTCGCTGGGCCCCAGGGGAGGAGGTACCCAGATTTAGCGCGGAGTAGAAGCTTAAATTACATAAATCGGTATAAAGTTATAAAATATATTACGTATTTTAAGGATTATCTCGGACGTAAAACCAGATATTTTCCGCGCGGATTAAGCATTTTTCCTCCGGCCACCAAGGTCTCTCCGTAGTAGCCAAGGACGAACGTCTAATTAAAATTCTTTGTTTTCTTCCGGCAGCGTAGTTTTTTTTTTCAAATAATTGGCCTGGGAATAGATAAGTATCTCGGTCCTTCCCGCGGTGGCTAGCAATTAAATGCCTACCGATTATTTTCAATTTTAAGCGTAGAGAAAAATTTATAACCGTTTAAACCGCGTGGAAACGAATTCCCCGGGACGAAGTTTGGCTTTACGTCTTCGATTCGGAATTATTTAACCGGGAGCGACGTTACTCGAAGAGAATTAAAAAACCGTTTTATTATCCGGTTAGACTGGAAATTCGAAAGTTTTGCCGGTCTAACCTTCCCCGGCCCGTTACTAAAGCCGAGAGAAAGCCTTTACTTAAAATTTGTCCGTCTATTTAAATAATTAAACTAATTATTTTATTTTTCTCGCGTTAAACCTTTGGAGAGAAAATTAATTTTATTAATTTCGTGGAAGTCGACGTTGAAAAATACGAAGCGCGGTCGTCGCGCGGTTTATAAATCCGAAAGTTACCCGGCCAAACCCGTCTTCCGATAAAGTATCGTTTGTTAAAATAAAAAATAAATCGGTTCCATTTTGTCACGGGCCGTGGCCTCGGCCCGTGACAAAATGGCAAACTGCCAAGTTGGCGCGTTAACCACTTTCGGAGTTCGTTTTTTTTTCTCGTAATCGGGTTTATTAGCCGGAGACTTTCATAATATCGATCGTTAAGGAAATCGGCGGAAAAAGTTTTAAACGATACGTCGTCGGTAATATTATATAACGATTCAAATTATTACGAAAGAAGACGGGATCCGTAAATTGCTCTACCCCTAAAGCTCTTCTTTGTCGAGACGGGAGAACCCCTTACTAAATGTACGATTTTGCGCGACGGAGGACGTTTTTTCACCCCATCGCGCCACTTACCCCTTTGAGCCGGAACGTTAACGCGTACGTAATTCTTATCTCTCGAGTAATCCGCCTATTCCCACCCAGCCGTAATTTGGAAATCGTAAAGACTTTTCGATTCGCTCCTAAATAAACCCGTTTCGACCGTAATTTGTTAATTCCCATTGTATTTGGAGAGACGATTTTCGTTTCTGACGCGTCGAACCGCTTTTACCCGAACGACGTCCGAAGTCAACGACACGGTCGTTCGTTTCCAGTTCGCTCGACTTTGCGCGTGACCGACGTTTCCGGTCGATTTAGAGGTTACGACTCCGGTTTCTATCGGATGAGACGCGTAAACGGCGATCATGTGTCTGAGGATAAACCGCTTCTGTTGCTTCGACGACACCAGAAAAGGATCGACGGCCTGCGCCTTCTACACGGGTGTAAGTCGCCTATTTACCCAAATCTGTAATCGGATAATAACGTAGATTCTTACCCACCGGGGTCGGTCTCCGTCATCGAGTAACTAACGATAAAACTGCGGGGGTCGGACCGGCACCCCGGCATCGACGATAAGTCCGACTCCGACCTATCGAAGTCGGATTAGTGGCGATTAGTCTAAAATTTTAGGCCGCGGTACGATTATTATAGTTATTTTGTAGTAGTGTTCTATTATACGAAAATCTTACCCGGTTTACTAATGGATTGTCGATATTTTGTCTGTTAGTTATGTTAATTATGTTAGTTATGTTAGGATGTTAATTAATTTCCTTTATAATTAAATATGTAATTAATGTTAATAATTGCAGGTATTATCCGTCGGAGGAATCGTGGGAAATTCCGTAATTCTCGGTTTATTCGATAAATACAAACGAAAGATATACGATTTTAATAATGGAAGTAAGTAAATTCGTTGGTAGTTAAGTTTAATCTTCCTAAAAACTAGAATATTGGTAATTAAATTACGACGTATTTTGGTAAATTCTTAGAAAGCGATTAAAAACTAAATATTCTAAAGCGGTGTTTCCCGACCTTTTTGCGCTACGCCCCACCTAAGCCTTTCTAAAATTCTTACGCCCCCTAACCTATACGGCGGCTATACGATTAACGTAAACTCCGGACGAGTCCATTTTCCAATTGCCCCCCTGTGGGGCGTGGGGCCCACGTTGGGAAACATTGTTCTAAAGAATTGTTCTGGCAAACGAGTCGATTACACGTACTGTACAGTACACCGGGGAGTCCTTTACGTCCGGAGATTATACAATTCTATACTCTCGTCTCGCTAATATTCGGAATGACGATTTTTAAAATTTACAAATATTTCCACGAAACGAACGTTCCGCGTCGCTTCTAACCAATTCTTATTAACCATTTATCTGTTTGCGTCGGATTCCTTCGTCCCTTAATCCGGAAGAACGAAGACGAAAGTGGACGAATCGGCTCTCGGAATCTATCGAAATTGTCGTCGTTATTATTTTAATTTAATATCTGTAGATTTCCCCCGCAAATTTAAATTTTTCGTATTTTTCTACAGAATACGTGCCAAACTTAACAGTAAGTATCACGAATGGCTCGTTAACTTCGTCCACTTGGTGATATTTTTCCAATTTCCGACCACGGTATATTCCCTCGGAACGTACTGTACCTTTGTCCAGGAAATTAGAAACGTATAATTTACGCATACGATACAATAAAATACATGTAATTTATACACTTTTATACAATATATAAAAATCGAATAAATCGTATCGCCGGTAATTTTATTGCCGCGCGAAGTAATAAAATTATCGACAAATAAATCTACAAACGTCGGTTTTCCAACTCGTATAAACATCGTCTAGCATCCGTCAACGTCTACGTCGGACGACGTCGTTTGGACGTTTCTCTTTACTTTCTTCCTTAACGTGATGCGAAGGTCACGATTAAGCGAATTTCTCGTCTTTCCTCGGAGAAAGTTATAATTATAATACTCGATATAACGTATAACACCGAAATAAATTAAGAGACGGCGATATAGACGAATAATACGATAATTTTGAACTATCGAATGACCGGAGGGTGCCGCCACTCACCGGTTCGAATTCGTTTACGTTCGAAACTACGAAGGGAACGTAAATAGAAATGGTAAATTTTTGCTCGTATTACACGAATTGTATTATACGAATTTCCTTTTAATTTGTCTATTTGAACTTTGAGGGAGTGCGGCCGGACCCTGTCCGTCCCTAAATCGACCGTTACGTACCGTAATTATGTACGGACGTCTACGGAAGGCCAGAATAGAGATTCTTTAATTACCATCGGCCGGTATACAGTAGGCCGCATACTTTGTTTTTATTGCAGAACTAGATTACGACGGAATAAAATTGTACGTCCTGATAACTTTATCGTCGTCGGTGATGTTTCTGGCCGCCAGCGCGTTTCTGTTAATCGCCGTTAAAAAGGTATTTTAAGCTTTTATTTACGTCCTTTAAATGTACAAAAGACCGAACAATCGTTTTCGCCATTTCAGGAGAAACGTCTGTTGATGATTCCTTGGATGATCTGGATGGCCATTCTGATAAGCGCTCAATTATCCACCGTCGTCTTTCTATTATTTGTAATCACTGCCAGTCCGGTAAATACCTTAACGTGTCTTTTAATATTTATCGTATAAACCGATTCTTCGTTACGTAATTTCAATTTTCTCGCGTTTCGTCGCCGGTACGAAACCGATAAAATTGCGTGCCGACGAATTATTATACCGTTTTCCGGCCCTTTTGTCCGTTTTTATATTAACGAAAAATCGTCGCACCCGACAAACGACTCCGGCCGGGGATCTCGAAGATCGTTTTAGGCGCGATTAGAGGCAATTAGAATCCATTGGAAAGGTCTAACGATTTAGCGCCGAAACGTCCAAGTTTTATAATCGACGTCGTGGCACCGGTAACGTCTACTTCCGACGTTTTCTTAGCGATGGTCCCGACTTACGACGTCTACGTACGCAATTTGCTCCCGGTCGCTGGCGGTTTCGCGGTAATTTAAAGTTTTTGACCATGTTTGTTTTCATTTTAAACGTAATTTGTATGATTTTTATTTTATTCCCGGCGAATGCGTAAATGTAACCTCGAGTCGTATCGAATTGCCATCTCCGAGATATCGTTTTTCGTGTTCGTTATCCGAGATCCGCCGATAATTTACCGGGTGGGTGGCGCCAAACCGGTTTCTTGCGTTCTAAAGGCAAATAAGAAAAAAACCGAGTTTTGGGAAATATTTTATCGACCTCGCGGTTCGATTTCCCAGATATTATCCTCCGCTACGGCAAGATGGTGGAATAAATTCCGGAATGATTAAAATGTAGGTCAAGGAGTTACATCTAAATGCCCGTAACTCCGCGTAACGGTTAAATTTACGACTGCTATTATCTCGGCAATTTATGTAAATTTACGTTAGAATACATTAAATACGATTTAGTATTTTTATAGGCAATTATTATTTATTACGTATTTTCAGAAGATTCTTCTTCAATGCCTAATCATCGTCGTCTTCTGTCTGGTAAACGTGAGTACAAACCCATCGGCCCGTCTCGTAATTTACGCTTTTGACCGCGGTCCGTAATTCTTTTGTCTTTCTTTGCAGTCGTATTGTTTCTCTTGCGTCTATTCGCAATACAGGACTCTACGAGAAGCTCGATATTCTACCCCGACGGATAAACTTTAGTTTTTCGTTTTCGTCCGCGCTAACGAAAACGTCGAGTAATTTATCTATTAAAATTTCTTTTATTTTAAATTAACCTTGTTCTTCGCATTCCTTTCTTATTTAATCCCAACTCGGAAACCGCGCCGGGCATCGTCCTCCCCTCGAGTATTTCGTCGGAGTTTAATCGACACTTCTCCCTACGAATTAAGAAGTTTTCTAGAAGAGCGATTCCCAACCTGTGGTATGCGTACCCCTAGGGGTACGCGATAGGTTGTTTAGGGGTACAGAAAAAAGTTAGTTATTATGTCAGAAAAAATAATATATTACGTATCACAAACCAATAGTATTAAAAAATTATTAGATAAAAAATGTTCCTTGCAACAATCACAACTTTATTATGCATTTTTTTCATTTACTTTTTTTTCTTTAATTTAAAGTTACAATATGTAAAATTAACAATACTGGTAATCACTAAATTTCTTAAATGAGGGGTACAATCTAGAGATATGACACGTCACGGGGTACGCTAATAAAAAAAGATTGGGAACCACTGTTCTAGAAGATCGAGTCCCAAAGTATTTTATAGAAAATCTTCCGGAAGATCCATCCGATCGACGAAGAAGTTATAATAGTAAAATGAAAATGCAAAGTTTTTCGACCGATAAACAATTAATTAAGATCCTTTACTACCCATTGTATCGCCGTTAAGAACCGACAATTCTGTATCGCCATCACCCTGCCGGGCGGCAGTTTTTAATCGTATTTTTAGTTTATTTCATTTAAAATATACTCATTCCACCCGAAATTAGTAGTGGCCGGCCCCCGTACGTCGTACTTTTCCTTTACGTAGTTACGTAAATTACGATTTGCCGGTCGTCTATTAACCGTTTTCGGGAAAATTTTTCGATGGGAATAAAATTTGCGACGTTCGGTTTGCGCCGGACGTTCGTATATACAGTAGAGCTTCGTTTATCCGAATCAATTGGGGACTGGGGTTGTTCGTATAACTGATATTTCGGATAACCGATTATGTACAAAAAATATGCTAACCTATCCCGTGTTGAAATTTTTCTCCGTTGCGTGTCGCTTGGCGTTGAATTCGACGTTAAGCCTAACGAAGACTATTGTATCGTTAAAAATTATTTTTTTATTTTGTACAAACAAAATAAATATATTGAAAAATATAAAAACAATAAAAAATTATACTTCAGAAGTTAATTTAGTATCAACAACGTAAAATATTTGAGTAGCCCGAGACATAGCCAAAGATTGCATCGCCACAGCACTGGCGAAAATTTAAATTTGCCGACTGGAATTCTTTGGGATAATTGACTTTCGGATAAACGACGCTCTACTGTAGTTAGTCCGGGCATCCCGCCCCTAAGGTTTTCGTATACGGTATCGTATTTCGCGTATCTAACTCGGTTCCGGAGATTAAGGAAAGACGTACGAACGGAGGACGGTGGGAATTTCTACATCTACGACGTATTCAAATTTCAACCGGACAAAATGCGAAGTAGAGATAAAAACTGGAAATAAAAGCGGTCCGTACGCTTCTATCCGCAGCGGGCATTTGGACGAAAACGATTAGGAGGTTTCTTTTATGGGTAAATTAAGTTAAACTTTCTACTTTATACGTTTTACCGAGTGTTACCCGGTGCGAGTAGAACGACTTTTATTCGATAAACACTGTACGATATACCGTACACTTAGCGCTTCTCGCGGTTAGGCTAGGTATTTCCTATTTACAAAGTCAAATTTAAGTCTAAAAGCGCGCGAGTTCTGGTCAAAATCCTAGTTAAACATACCCATTACGGACGGCGTTGTTTTTTTATTAATTAATCGTTAACTAGTCTTTGCGGCCTAATAATTTCTCCATCTTAATACCGTATCTGATTTTTGAACGAATTTCCTTTTTATAATTATATATTATTTATTAGTTACGTCGGGTGTAAGATAAAAACAGCGAGAGGAAAAACTAAAAGCGTCATTTTTACAGACCTACTTATCGTTTTAAACCGGTGTTTTTCGGAACGTTCTGCCTTTGTTCTCGTCGTCTCGGCTCCCGATTCTCTCCATTTCTTTCCGAATAGCGCGACCGTTACGTTATTTAAATCCGGGTTTTTATCGGCGGATAAATTTAAAACTTCCGGCCGAGTTTTCGCCATTTTACCGCTACCGCCGACGCTATTTGTTTAATTAAAACGCTCGCTCTTCGTTAAGTAATAAGCGTGGTTTTAATTTTTTTGCGCAGAAAACGGTTAATCCGATGCGTAATTACTTGCCCACCCCGACGCCTCCTCCGCGGAGAGCGAAGTTCGTCTTTAGTACTTTTTCCACCGATAGACAGCGGCCCGCCAAACGCCGGGCTACTCTCGACGGCCCGGAGTCACCCGCCGGATCGACCAAAGTTCTGTACGTCCGTGTATTTGAGGTACAGTACAGTACGTACAGTACGGTGTTCGAAGCGTCGCGACGTTCCCGACGAAGCGATACGACAATTACAGCGTCGTTTTATTTATTATTTTTTTCTAGTTTTGGACACGGATTATTCGATAATAATTTTGGCTGGACCGCGGTTAAAATTAAAATCTAGTCCGGGTGTCCGGTTATTTCGTAGATCGCTCCTCCGTTTAACTAAATTAGTCGCGATTTATTCGTCGCGTAAAAACGCCAGCCGATAAACGCGCTTTCTATTACAGCCAGAATTCGTCACCCTTAACGGATATAACTAAATCGAAACGATTTAGGCTACTTTTAGTCCGTCCGTTTCGTTACGATTGGCTCGGCCGCCCCCCGTAAGTAGCGTAACTTACCTCGGCCGCGATGTCATTCGCGTACGTATATGGCGGCGGCGCCATTTATTTTCCGACGTCCCATTCTACTTAATAACGTTTAAGTTTCTTCCGTTTTTACCGTTTTCTTTACCTTTCGAGCAATTTTCTCGGAATGTCGATTTAATTCCGTCGGTTTTTGCAAGCCGTCCGATATTAGAAAGACCTTCGTTCGGAAACCGTGTCGATAGTTCGGTGTTTCTTTACACTATTAGTTTTCGATAAATGATTTTTGCCGACGATAAACACGCGACTAGAAACTACCCGTACCGTACGGTCCGTACAGCGCTCCGTCGTTCTTATCCCCGCGTTATACTTTTCTGTACGAAAGAAACGCCGAAAAGGCGGGTCCGAATTAGCTAACTTCCTCCCGAGTAGGCATTATACAAAAATAACTTTGGCTTTTAATAAATAAATTACACGAAAACCGATTAAAAGGAAGGGAGAAGACTAGGCGGTGCGGGGACTTCGAAGTATTTGCGTTTCCTTAGAACACGGAATTTCTTGTAAGGTCTTGTATTGAGAATACACGCAGGCGAAACAATAAATCTGTAAACACAAGAAATTCGTTTTACCGGAAGGCGGTTTTCTTCCTTAAAATTTTTGTTTTACTTACGTTTACCGCGGAGAATAAAACGATAACGAAGCACTGGAGAAGAATTATCTAAAAATAATAATAAATAATACTTTAGAACGTACTCCACAGCACTGGCGAAAATTTAAATTTGCCGACTGGAATTCTTTCGGATAATTGACTTTCGGATAAACGACGCTCTACTGTAGTTAGTCCGGGCATCCCGCCCCTAAGGTTTTCGTATACGGTATCGTATTTCGCGTATCTAACTCGGTTCCGGAGATTAAGGAAAGACGTACGAACGGAGGACGGTGGGAATTTCTACATCTACGACGTATTCAAATTTCAACCGGACAAAATGCGAAGTAGAGATAAAAACTGGAAATAAAAGCGGTCCGTACGCTTCTATCCGCAGCGGGCATTTGGACGAAAACGATTAGGAGGTTTCTTTTATGGGTAAATTAAGTTAAACTTTCTACTTTATACGTTTTACCGAGTGTTACCCGGTGCGAGTAGAACGACTTTTATTCGATAAACACTGTACGATATACCGTACACTTAGCGCTTCTCGCGGTTAGGCTAGGTATTTCCTATTTACAAAGTCAAATTTAAGTCTAAAAGCGCGCGAGTTCTGGTCAAAATCCTAGTTAAACATACCCATTACGGACGGCGTTGTTTTTTTATTAATTAATCGTTAACTAGTCTTTGCGGCCTAATAATTTCTCCATCTTAATACCGTATCTGATTTTTAAACGAATTTCCTTTCTATAATTATATATTACTTATTAGTTACGTCGGGTGTAAGATAAAAACAGCGAGAGGAAAAACTAAAAGCGTCATTTTTACAGACCTACTTATCGTTTTAAACCGGTGTTTTTCGGAACGTTCTGCCTTTGTTCTCGTCGTCTCGGCTCCCGATTCTCTCCATTTCTTTCCGAATAACGCAACAGTTACGTTATTTAAATCTGGGTTTTAATCGGCGGATAAAACTTCCGGCCGAGTTTTCGCCATTTTACCGCTATCGCCGACACTATTTGTTTAAAACGCTCGCTCCTCGTTAAGTAATAAGCGTGGTTTTAAATTTTTTGCGCAGAAAACGGTTAATCCGATGCGTAATTACTTGCCCACCCCGACGCCTCCTCCGCGGAGAGCGAAGTTCGTTCTCGAACGGAAACGTCTTTAGTACTTTTTCCACCGATAGACAGCGGCCCGCCAAACGCCGGGCTACTCTCGACGGCCCGGAGTCACCCGCCGGATCGACCAAAGTTCTGTACGTCCGTGTATTTGAGGTACAGTACAGTACGTACAGTACGGTGTTCGAAGCGTCGCGNTAAATTTTTTGCGCAGAAAACGGTTAATCCGATGCGTAATTACTTGCCCACCCCGACGCCTCCTCCGCGGAGAGCGAAGTTCGTCTTTAGTACTTTTTCCACCGATAGACAGCGGCCCGCCAAACGCCGGGCTACTCTCGACGGCCCGGAGTCACCCGCCGGATCGACCAAAGTTCTGTACGTCCGTGTATTTGAGGTACAGTACAGTACGTACAGTACGGTGTTCGAAGCGTCGCGACGTTCCCGACGAAGCGATACGACAATTACAGCGTCGTTTTATTTATTATTTTTTTCTAGTTTTGGACACGGATTATTCGATAATAATTTTGGCTGGACCGCGGTTAAAATTAAAATCTAGTCCGGGTGTCCGGTTATTTCGTAGATCGCTCCTCCGTTTAACTAAATTAGTCGCGATTTATTCGTCGCGTAAAAACGCCAGCCGATAAACGCGCTTTCTATTACAGCCAGAATTCGTCACCCTTAACGGATATAACTAAATCGAAACGATTTAGGCTACTTTTAGTCCGTCCGTTTCGTTACGATTGGCTCGGCCGCCCCCCGTAAGTAGCGTAACTTACCTCGGCCGCGATGTCATTCGCGTACGTATATGGCGGCGGCGCCATTTATTTTCCGACGTCCCATTCTACTTAATAACGTTTAAGTTTCTTCCGTTTTTACCGTTTTCTTTACCTTTCGAGCAATTTTCTCGGAATGTCGATTTAATTCCGTCGGTTTTTGCAAGCCGTCCGATATTAGAAAGACCTTCGTTCGGAAACCGTGTCGATAGTTCGGTGTTTCTTTACACTATTAGTTTTCGATAAATGATTTTTGCCGACGATAAACACGCGACTAGAAACTACCCGTACCGTACGGTCCGTACAGCGCTCCGTCGTTCTTATCCCCGCGTTATACTTTTCTGTACGAAAGAAACGCCGAAAAGGCGGGTCCGAATTAGCTAACTTCCTCCCGAGTAGGCATTATACAAAAATAACTTTGGCTTTTAATAAATAAATTACACGAAAACCGATTAAAAGGAAGGGAGAAGACTAGGCGGTGCGGGGACTTCGAAGTATTTGCGTTTCCTTAGAACACGGAATTTCTTGTAAGGTCTTGTATTGAGAATACACGCAGGCGAAACAATAAATCTGTAAACACAAGAAATTCGTTTTACCGGAAGGCGGTTTTCTTCCTTAAAATTTTTGTTTTACTTACGTTTACCGCGGAGAATAAAACGATAACGAAGCACTGGAGAAGAATTATCTAAAAATAATAATAAATAATACTTTAGAACGTACTCCACACTATATAAATTCTTTTAAAGATAACGTATTTGTTACGGTCGAGACGATATTTGCGCGCTTAATAGTGTCGGGACGATTCTCGCTTCCTACCCATCGATATGGCGTCGTAGGCGAAATCCCCCGCCGTAAAGTCCGAACGAGATACTCGTACGGGTCTACAAATACCTAAGCGCGGTGTTCGAGGACGAAAGAGACTCGGCCGTCGGCTATCGAGCCCATAAGCTACGGCGGAACCGGCTTAGGAGAGATTTACCGGATAATCGGACACCGGAAACACCGAGTAAACGTGCGACGGATAATTAAAAAAGGAGAAAAACTGCGAAAGAAACTAAAAATATATATGAGAAATAAACGAACTTTGACTTCTTCCACCATAATTTCTCCAACCCAAAGTAACGATTGCGTAATTACGTTACGCGGTGGCCGCGGAATTGACGACGGAAAGAATATTAAACCTCGCCAACTTCGTCCGAAAACATTTCCATATTTTAAACATTAAATTATGCAAAGTTATAAAATCCCACGGTACTTATTAATAATTATAAATTGAACCGCAAAACCGGGCATTCGAGTGGTAAGTAGTCGTTTAGCTATCACACCGATTACCCAATCTAGTATTTATATAAATAAATAGTGTCGAAATGTCTCTAAATATTTATAAAAGTGTTCGATTCTAATCTGTTTCGGGTCGAAATTAAACCGTTTTGACGGGAAATTCGTTTAACATGGAATGAAAACTGCCGGCGCCATTGTCACGCGCGTGGCAAAAACAACGGTAGAAACGGGTAAAGACGGCCGTAGTTTACCGAATCGAAAATAATAATATATTTCTGTATCTTTCTAAAGAAAGGATCCTATTGTCGGGGTTTATCGTTAATAAAATCCCGGATTCGACCGTTATTCGAAGTAGGAACGCACTGTTAGAAGACGTCCCAGTATTTATCTTCTTTCTTTCGTCCGGTAGTTACGGGGTAATTACTATCCTTTATTAATTTTTTCTGTTTTAAAAGTTCTAAAAATACTCCCACCGGCAGTGGTGGAAATTCTCTTATTCGCCGGGAGAAAGAGTTAACGCCTCCTTTAGAGAGCCTTCTTTTCCCGTTCTTTTATCGCCTCGATTATCCGGCCGTCTATTATTTTAAAAAAAGCCCGGAAAACTTACGGGATTAGCTTTAATGATGAGGAATAAAAAGAAAACCGAGCAGAGTTGAACGGCGATTAGGACGGCCATCCACACCATCCAGGGGACGGTCAGCCGGCGCCTCTCCTGAAAATATTTCGTAACTTTATTAGTAATTATTTACGCGTAATTTTCCGCGGCCAAATTGGCTACGGGAAGGTAGAAGATTCCCACGCTCTTTACCTTTTTAATGCCTACGTATAAAAGTGTACTGACCAGGAACAAGACCACGGCCGACGATAAAGATAACCGAAAATATAATTGGATGGAAGCCTGATCTATTTCTGAAACAGAAACGAAAGGTTTTTACACTACGCAAATATTTAATTTTATTTCTAATAATTTACATATCGCGCGAGTAAGTTAATCCGGCCCCGGGTGCCGGATTAACGCGTTTAAAGGTGGCTTTTTTTACGTTTAAAGAAGGAGAAAAGCGAAAGAAACATCCGGAGATTTTATGGAAAGGAAACTTACGAAGTACTTAAAGTAATTACTTGGTTCGATAGACCGTAATCGGGAGGAAAGTTTGGAAAAACGAGAGAAAAAAGTACAGTAATTAATAAACGCAGAAAGAATGTTAAATCGTTATTGCCGTAGCGACCACTCGGTTTTTAAATACGTTTTTGGAATTTAAATACGTTATCGAGCTTTAGTTTAATATTTAAACGGGCGAACTACGGGAGAAAAGACGTTACCGGTGGCTTTCGAGGGCGCGTAAAAGGAAAGAGACTGACTTCCCGCCACATACCGGTAGTAATTTAAAGTTTTTATTAACGGAAGGTCGACGATTCGAAAGTAATTTAACGGATTTAGGGACCGTCACCCGTCGGGCGTAATAAAATATACGGCGAGGGGATGCCGGCGGTGTTACGTCGCCCTCCGCATTTTAATTAAACGTATCTTTCGAATATTTCGCTAACGATTTGTTCTTTGGCCGTTCCTTCTCTTTCCGGATCCCGCCGAATAAGTAAACGATATACGATACGGCACGCGAACCGTCTCCCGACATCCCAGATGCAATCCGGAGAATAGAAATTTTAAATTATTAAATGCCAACTTAACTCTCCTTAATTCATTAATATCCTGGTAAAACGTTTATAGTCATTTTTTCTTCCGTTCGACGGGCGAAACGTTCGATTTTAAATTAAAAATCCATTCGTTCGTTCTTTAATCGACGGAAAGGGGCAGTTTCTTACGCATTAAACAAATATAATCGGTCGTAACCGTCTTCGGTCTAGGCAATTTCCAGATATTTCTCGGCCGTCGACGGACGAACCAAACGAACACGTGGCTAAAAATAATTTACGCCTAATTAACGTATTAAGCGTATAATTTTTCGGGACGTATTTACTTTTACGCAAATAAACACGTCCCGAAAAAAATTATAAATTTATTCCAGACGTAAATAAAAACGAACTTTTAGCCATTATCCTAGCCGGTGTCGAACGCCCTTAATGCCCGTCGACGAATGGTATAAACGACGGCGACGGATGGAGAATTACGCACAGTCGTAACTCTCCGTCCTTACGCGTCGGCCCGTAAGCCCCACGCGCCATATTTTAAGTCTACCCTACTTATTAAAACCAGGCGAGGATTATAAAAGTAAGCGGGACATTTATAGCGAGAAAAAATTCGCTAACTTCGCGTAAATACTTTACGCACGCAACTACATTGGCGGCCGTTGGCGATAACGCGAAACCGATAAAAGAAAAAAACGCGTACTCGTTTCTGCCGGGAAATAAATATTATAATTAATTGCCAAAAAGACGAAAACCGGTTCGGCCATTAAATATTCGATTCGACGAGAATAAATAAATTGCGTAAAATCGACGATATTTGTACTTACTGCCTTTGTTGAAGTCGTAGAGCTTCTGTTTGTATCTGTCAAATAAGGCCAGAACGACGGAGTTGGTGATTATCCCTCCTAACGATACGATCTACGACAGAACGGATATACGTCACTCCCGCATCCGCACCACCCGTTTTAAATAGGTAAAATCCCAAGCTTTACCGAGTTAGAAAATACGTTTAATTTAAAATACCAGTTATACTATTAACCGACTTTAATTAACGTCCGCTACCTTTTTCCCACGGAGAATTACGTTAAAACTAACGCCGGGCGCCGTCCCAGCGGCGCGCGGCTTTAGTTTCCAAGTAAACTGGCTATCCCGATCGATAAATAACGAATCGGGGCAATTAGCGCCTACGGTTTAAGTAGGTTGGCCATTACTCGGGCCGCTACCGTCTACAACACCGCGTAAGATAATATATATAAAGCATACTACCCCCGTGTAGAATGCGCAGGCCAGCGATCCGTTTTTAGTGTTCTTGAAGCAACAGAAGCGATTAATCCTGAAACACATAACTGCGGACGTGTGGCCGACCAGAAGAAGTCCAGATCTCTACCGCCTCTACCTATTTCTCCCGTGTAACTCGTGACGGAGTCACCTGACGCGTTACGCCAACTCCAGACGACTCGCCGGTATCTCGACCGACAACTTTTACCGGATGGTTACACCTACCGGGAAAGCCGGGTTAGGCGCTCTCGGATCTTTCCCGCCGGGAATCGGACCTTCTTACGCGTTCGTCCCCGGACGCGTAACTTTACTTTATAAGGATTTATCCGAGGGACGACGGATCGTAATTTAGTTTACCGTATTCGCTCCCCCTTCCCCTTTCGCGCGTTATTTACATATTTAGGTCGCGTAACCAACGACCGACTTAAGAGTTTTTCGGGCCGGAGACGAGTCTCGAATTAATTTCCGTACTCCATTTAAATATCGGCCGAACGGCGGTGGCCGTCTTCTTCGTCGCTCGTCTGGCGGCGTTTATTTGTTCGTTTGTCTTTATCGCCGTCGCTTTTATTTCGCCCGATGGTTATTTTTGGCGAAATTCCGGTCGGCTTCCGCCGTTCTTTGTAATAAGGCGATAGAAGCCATTTAATAATAATAATATTATTACAATAAGAATTCCGAAATTATAGTTATGGAAGAAAAACCGGTTTTTGCACGAAAATATTCCTTCTGGTGAAATTACGCCAGCGCGTTCGACCGGGTCTTAACGTTCTCCGTTTAAAAAATATTAATATTAATCGACGTAGCTTTTAAGTTCCTTCGATATGGACGACAAAAGTCGCGTTATTAATTTATCGTCGGTAATTGGGCTTCTCTCCCTATAACGCTAGACCGAGTCCCAAAGTATTTTATAGAAAATCTTCCGGAAGATCCATCCGATCGACGAAGAAGTTATAATAGTAAAATGAAAATGCAAAGTTTTTCGACCGATAAACAATTAATTAAGATCCTTTACTACCCATTGTATCGCCGTTAAGAACCGACAATTCTGTATCGCCATCACCCTGCCGGGCGGCAGTTTTTAATCGTATTTTTAGTTTATTTCATTTAAAATATACTCATTCCACCCGAAATTAGTAGTGGCCGGCCCCCGTACGTCGTACTTTTCCTTTACGTAGTTACGTAAATTACGATTTGCCGGTCGTCTATTAACCGTTTTCGGGGAAATTTTTCGATGGGAATAAAATTTGCGACGTTCGGTTTGCGCCGGACGTTCGTATATACAGTAGAGCTTCGTTTATCCGAATCAATTGGGGACTGGGGTTGTTCGTATAACTGATATTTCGGATAACCGATTATGTACAAAAAATATGCTAACCTATCCCGTGTTGAAATTTTTCTCCGTTGCGTGTCGCTTGGCGTTGAATTCGACGTTAAGCCTAACGAAGACTATTGTATCGTTAAAAATTATTTTTTTATTTTGTACAAACAAAATAAATATATTGAAAAATATAAAAACAATAAAAAATTTATACTTCAGAAGTTAATTTAGTATCAACAACGGTAAAATATTTGAGTAGCCCGAGACATAGCCAAAGATTGCATCGCCACAGCACTGGCGAAAATTTAAATTTGCCGACTGGAATTCTTTCGGATAATTGACTTTCGGATAAACGACGCTCTACTGTAGTTAGTCCGGGCATCCCGCCCCTAAGGTTTTCGTATACGGTATCGTATTTCGCGTATCTAACTCGGTTCCGGAGATTAAGGAAAGACGTACGAACGGAGGACGGTGGGAATTTCTACATCTACGACGTATTCAAATTTCAACCGGACAAAATGCGAAGTAGAGATAAAAACTGGAAATAAAAGCGGTCCGTACGCTTCTATCCGCAGCGGGCATTTGGACGAAAACGATTAGGAGGTTTCTTTTATGGGTAAATTAAGTTAAACTTTCTACTTTATACGTTTTACCGAGTGTTACCCGGTGCGAGTAGAACGACTTTTATTCGATAAACACTGTACGATATACCGTACACTTAGCGCTTCTCGCGGTTAGGCTAGGTATTTCCTATTTACAAAGTCAAATTTAAGTCTAAAAGCGCGCGAGTTCTGGTCAAAATCCTAGTTAAACATACCCATTACGGACGGCGTTGTTTTTTTATTAATTAATCGTTAACTAGTCTTTGCGGCCTAATAATTTCTCCATCTTAATACCGTATCTGATTTTTAAACGAATTTCCTTTCTATAATTATATATTATTTATTAGTTACGTCGGGTGTAAGATAAAAACAGCGAGAGGAAAAACTAAAAGCGTCATTTTTACAGACCTACTTATCGTTTTAAGCCGGTTTTTTTCCGAAAAATCTATCTTTGTTCTCGTCGTCTCGGCTCCCGATTCTCTCCATTTCTTTCCGAATAGCGCGACCGTTACGTTATTTAAATCCGGGTTTTTATCGGCGGATAAATTTAAAACTTCCGGCCGAGTTTTCGCCATTTTACCGCTACCGCCGACGCTATTTGTTTAATTAAAACGCTCGCTCTTCGTTAAGTAATAAGCGTGGTTTTAATTTTTTTGCGCAGAAAACGGTTAATCCGATGCGTAATTACTTGCCCACCCCGACGCCTCCTCCGCGGAGAGCGAAGTTCGTCTTTAGTACTTTTTCCACCGATAGACAGCGGCCCGCCAAACGCCGGGCTACTCTCGACGGCCCGGAGTCACCCGCCGGATCGACCAAAGTTCTGTACGTCCGTGTATTTGAGGTACAGTACAGTACGTACAGTACGGTGTTCGAAGCGTCGCGACGTTCCCGACGAAGCGATACGACAATTACAGCGTCGTTTTATTTATTATTTTTTTCTAGTTTTGGACACGGATTATTCGATAATAATTTTGGCTGGACCGCGGTTAAAATTAAAATCTAGTCCGGGTGTCCGGTTATTTCGTAGATCGCTCCTCCGTTTAACTAAATTAGTCGCGATTTATTCGTCGCGTAAAAACGCCAGCCGATAAACGCGCTTTCTATTACAGCCAGAATTCGTCACCCTTAACGGATATAACTAAATCGAAACGATTTAGGCTACTTTTAGTCCGTCCGTTTCGTTACGATTGGCTCGGCCGCCCCCCGTAAGTAGCGTAACTTACCTCGGCCGCGATGTCATTCGCGTACGTATATGGCGGCGGCGCCATTTATTTTCCGACGTCCCATTCTACTTAATAACGTTTAAGTTTCTTCCGTTTTTACCGTTTTCTTTACCTTTCGAGCAATTTTCTCGGAATGTCGATTTAATTCCGTCGGTTTTTGCAAGCCGTCCGATATTAGAAAGACCTTCGTTCGGAAACCGTGTCGATAGTTCGGTGTTTCTTTACACTATTAGTTTTCGATAAATGATTTTTGCCGACGATAAACACGCGACTAGAAACTACCCGTACCGTACGGTCCGTACAGCGCTCCGTCGTTCTTATCCCCGCGTTATACTTTTCTGTACGAAAGAAACGCCGAAAAGGCGGGTCCGAATTAGCTAACTTCCTCCCGAGTAGGCATTATACAAAAATAACTTTGGCTTTTAATAAATAAATTACACGAAAACCGATTAAAAGGAAGGGAGAAGACTAGGCGGTGCGGGGACTTCGAAGTATTTGCGTTTCCTTAGAACACGGAATTTCTTGTAAGGTCTTGTATTGAGAATACACGCAGGCGAAACAATAAATCTGTAAACACAAGAAATTCGTTTTACCGGAAGGCGGTTTTCTTCCTTAAAATTTTTGTTTTACTTACGTTTACCGCGGAGAATAAAACGATAACGAAGCACTGGAGAAGAATTATCTAAAAATAATAATAAATAATACTTTAGAACGTACTCCACACTATATAAATTCTTTTAAAGATAACGTATTTGTTACGGTCGAGACGATATTTGCGCGCTTAATAGTGTCGGGACGATTCTCGCTTCCTACCCATCGATATGGCGTCGTAGGCGAAATCCCCCGCCGTAAAGTCCGAACGAGATACTCGTACGGGTCTACAAATACCTAAGCGCGGTGTTCGAGGACGAAAGAGACTCGGCCGTCGGCTATCGAGCCCATAAGCTACGGCGGAACCGGCTTAGGAGAGATTTACCGGATAATCGGACACCGGAAACACCGAGTAAACGTGCGACGGATAATTAAAAAAGGAGAAAAACTGCGAAAGAAACTAAAAATATATATGAGAAATAAACGAACTTTGACTTCTTCCACCATAATTTCTCCAACCCAAAGTAACGATTGCGTAATTACGTTACGCGGTGGCCGCGGAATTGACGACGGAAAGAATATTAAACCTCGCCAACTTCGTCCGAAAACATTTCCATATTTTAAACATTAAATTATGCAAAGTTATAAAATCCCACGGTACTTATTAATAATTATAAATTGAACCGCAAAACCGGGCATTCGAGTGGTAAGTAGTCGTTTAGCTATCACACCGATTACCCAATCTAGTATTTATATAAATAAATAGTGTCGAAATGTCTCTAAATATTTATAAAAGTGTTCGATTCTAATCTGTTTCGGGTCGAAATTAAACCGTTTTGACGGGAAATTCGTTTAACATGGAATGAAAACTGCCGGCGCCATTGTCACGCGCGTGGCAAAAACAACGGTAGAAACGGGTAAAGACGGCCGTAGTTTACCGAATCGAAAATAATAATATATTTCTGTATCTTTCTAAAGAAAGGATCCTATTGTCGGGGTTTATCGTTAATAAAATCCCGGATTCGACCGTTATTCGAAGTAGGAACGCACTGTTAGAAGACGTCCCAGTATTTATCTTCTTTCTTTCGTCCGGTAGTTACGGGGTAATTACTATCCTTTATTAATTTTTTCTGTTTTAAAAGTTCTAAAAATACTCCCACCGGCAGTGGTGGAAATTCTCTTATTCGCCGGGAGAAAGAGTTAACGCCTCCTTTAGAGAGCCTTCTTTTCCCGTTCTTTTATCGCCTCGATTATCCGGCCGTCTATTATTTTAAAAAAAGCCCGGAAAACTTACGGGATTAGCTTTAATGATGAGGAATAAAAAGAAAACCGAGCAGAGTTGAACGGCGATTAGGACGGCCATCCACACCATCCAGGGGACGGTCAGCCGGCGCCTCTCCTGAAAATATTTCGT